CGCGCTTCCAGGCACAGCCCGGCACCAGGGGCCGCCCCCGCCGTCCCTCTGCCCGAAGCTTCCCCACTCTGGGCTTGGAAGCCCCGAGGATGCCGTCTCTTGGCTCCATTACGGCACCTCTGGGTGGAAAGGAGCCCGCCTCACGCTACGGATCCCAGGCAGTAAAACGCAGGCACAAGGAAATTCGGAGAAGTCGAAACATAAATGTATCGGGATTGAGATTCTCTTGCGGCCCCCCTCCCAAATAACCCCCGCGCCTCCAAGAAAGCCCCTGAGGGACGGTGGCGAGCAGGTGAGAAGGGTGACAGCGGCTGGAAGCTGGCTGCCCAGTACCCTGAGCTGATCTGGGAGAGGGCAACTTGTTAGGGGCTCCCCACTTCCTGAGAGGGACAGAGATTCGCTATGGTGGCCTCCTTCCTCTTGAATGGAACCTCCACACTGAATCGAACCCTAGTCATAGTCATCACTTATCATTCAAGACCTGTGTGTAGTTCTTGTTTGCCCAACGAAATCACAAAGTCTTCCAGATAAGGAATGTACTTTTCGCTTCTTTTCTCTTGTGTATGCAAAAGCATTCAGATAGAAACGAGTTAATTAACACGTGTTTGGCAGTAACTCTGGTTCCGGTGCTGAGGAGTGCTGTTTGGGATCCTTTCCCCTCGGTCCGTAGCCCTCAAGAATGCAATCATGAGACAATTAGAGAGGCAGCGCAAGAGAATCTATAATCAACTCCTTTAAGGGATGAGGTAGAGGCTGCTGCAAGTTGAGCATCGGTCTGTGGTCTTGTCTGTGGAGGGGGTTAACCAACCTGCCGGCCACACCCTGGCTGACTCCAGTGGGCCCCGTTCCGGAGACTGGGGTCTGGGGGGACCTCTAGGGCTCCATCCAGCTTTTCTCAGCATGTCAGAGTTCAGCGGCTGGAGTCGGGTGGGCTCCGAGACAACAAACGGGGCCCAGCCGAGAGAGGGGTCTTTGGCGTGTGTCCCTCCACTAAAATCCAGCCTCAAAGGGGCACAGCTGTTCTCTTCCCAGCCCTGCGGTCAGCTGTTCCCTGTGAGGTCATCATCGCTCACATGCATTCCCCAGTGAATCCTGGTGTCACTAGGTGGCTTGGGGAGAGGTGGAGGAAACCCGTGCTGAGGTCGTCAAGAGGCCGTTGGGAACTCAATGCCACCAACCAGGTCAGAGCTGGGCCTCCAAGGCTCGGGATCTAGGCCGCCAAATCCCAAACCCCTAACCGAGAGCGCTCCGCCCCCATCCCCGCTGCATTCTGGAACGCGTAGTCCCGGAGCGGCCCTTTTCAAGAAGGCTGGGAGCACATAAAAGGAATAACAACAGCGGGGCACACTGGGAACCGCGGCGCCGCGGCGGGGCGCCCGGAAAACGGACACGCGTTGCTCCCTGGGACTTGAAGTCCAGGGTTTTGCCTCCGCGGTGGAACTGGAGCCCTGGAGTCGAGTGCTGCAGAGAGCGTGAGCGCAGACGGCTGGGGTTTGTAGTCTTCTTGTCCTCGGTCTCGGGCACTGCGGGGAGACCTTGTTGTCTTAGGACTACAAGCCCCAGAAGGTACTGCGCGGCCAGGCGGGGCGGGGCTCGAGGCTCGGGTGCCGCCTCCTCTGCAACGCCGGGGCCAGAGTCTTAAAACCGAGGGCCCGCAGGGGTCCCCGCGGCCGCCGCGATGCAGAAATACGAGAAACTGGAAAAGATTGGGGAAGGTAATGGAATCTCGAGATGTTCCTGCAAGAGCCCCTCTGCAGATCCTTCGGCATTCCTTGCAGCCCTGGCTCCCTTACCGTCAGCAATACCTACAGGCTCCGACCTCAGCAGCGGCTGCAGCCCTGGCCCCCGAGCTCAGCACTCCGTGCAGACACCAGTCTTCCCCGTGTTAGCATTTCCCGCAGGCTCTCACTCCAACCTTAGCGTTCCCAGTAGACCCGACCTCCCAACCGCGACACTTCCTGAATTTCTCACCCCAGCCTCAGCACCACTTGGACAACCTCACCCCGAGCCCCAGCCTCGGTTCTTGCTGCAGACCTCCAACCTCAATATTTCTGCAGCCCCTCAGTCCTCTCCCAGGCCCCTCCTCACCATTTCCAGACCCTTCCGGAGCACCGCCTTCATTTTAGACATCCTTGCCCTCGCAGCCGCACTCGCCCCTCCTGCTGAGCCCCTGGAGCCTCCGCGGGCACCTTCTCCTCCTTCCTCACCTGCCACATCCTCACTCACAAAGCTCACCCACCTACCTTCACCCTGAATCCCTTTCTTTGCATATTCAGACGCTGCCTTCACCTCCCGGGAGGCATTTCCTGGCTTAGGGAAGAGTGCCGCATCCTCCCCCTGACCCCTGACCTCCTTCCCCTAGGCACCTACGGAACAGTGTTCAAGGCCAAAAACCGGGAGACTCATGAGATCGTGGCTCTGAAACGGGTGAGGCTGGATGACGATGATGAGGTAGGACTGGGGACTGAGATAGGGCCTGGAGAGGGGGTTGAGGGCCTGGGCTGGGTGGGATCTGACTGCTGCCCACCCGGCCCCCTCACATATGCAGGGTGTGCCGAGTTCTGCCCTCCGGGAGATCTGCCTACTCAAGGAGCTCAAGCACAAGAACATCGTCAGGTGTGCGGGAGGCGGGTGCTCCTTGCCGGTGTGGCCGCTTGGGGGAGGCGGGGGCTGACACTGGACGTCTGTCAGGCGGACCTGCATGGCTGAGCCCTTCTTTTGCCCTAGGCTTCATGATGTCCTGCACAGTGACAAGAAGCTGACTTTGGTTTTTGAATTCTGTGACCAGGTGAAAGGCGGGGTTTGGGGGACAGTAGCCTTGGGAAGGTATAGGGGCCCAGACTGAGGTTAAACTCTGTCCCATTCCCCCACTCATATCCCTTTTCAGGACCTGAAGAAGTATTTTGATAGTTGCAATGGTGACCTTGATCCTGAGATTGTAAAGGTGAGGAGAGTGGTGTTGGGGGACCCCTCAGGCTGGGGTCAGAGTCTGCATTCAGTGTAAGCACTCCTTGGGCTCTAACTTTGGGCCCTGAACAGGGACGCTCTGGGGTGTCAGAGAATGAGAAAACCCTGTTTCTGCCCTCTAGGAGCCTCCAGTCTTAGCAAACATTTTCACGTGGTCATCTTTGACCCGCACAGTGGCACTCTGACGTCAGTGATAGTATTTACATTCAGAGATGAGAAAATGAGGTTCAAGGAGATACACTCATTCATTCAATACATACTTACTGAATGCTTCACTGTGTGCCAGGTGCTCTTCTAGGCCCAAGACCAAATGCCTTGGTCCAGGTTCCAGGGGAGCCAGTCCTGAATGATACTACAGCATGATATTTATGTGCTGTAGTATCGTGTGCATACTCAGATGCGGCCAGGAAGGGAAGATCAGCATGGGCTAGGATCTAGGCGGGATCTAGGATCCACCTGGCAAGGCCCATTAGGCTATATGGTCCAGGAAGATGGGGACCAGGGCCAGTTTCTTCACTCTTGTCCCTCTAATGCCTAGTACAGTATAAAGCAGGTTCTGGATGGCGAATGAATGGTGTCACTCTGAACCAAGTGCTGAAAGGTGGGTGGGGTGGAGTGAAGCACAGGGTGAGGAGAGGAGCCACCCGTTGCTGGGCACAGTTGCATGTTCAGGGAGTCTGACTCCCTTCTGCCTGCTCTCCTCCCAGTCATTCCTCTTCCAGCTACTGAAAGGCCTGGGATTCTGTCATAGCCGCAATGTGCTACACAGGGACCTGAAGCCCCAGAACCTGCTAATAAACAGGGTACTTCTTGGGAAGAAGGTGGGGAGTGGGAAGCCTGGGGCCAGGGCATGGGGAGCACGGAGGGAAGAGGACTGGGAGGATGGAGTCTGTGCTGTCCCAAGGCTGCTTAAAGGCCCTTCTCCATGTCCCCTTCCCATTCCCCACAGAATGGGGAGCTGAAATTGGCTGATTTCGGCCTGGCTCGAGCCTTTGGGATCCCTGTCCGCTGTTACTCAGCTGAGGTGAGCTAGGAGATGGGATATGGGATTGGGGGAGGGAGTCCCTCAGCTCCAACCCCAGGACCCAGAACACTATTTTCCTCTCCTCTCTGAGCCTCCTCCTCAAACCTCCTCCCCAGCCCTCTAAGTGGGAGTCCCCTGTCGGGGGGCGGTCTCCTCCAGGTGGTCACACTGTGGTACCGCCCACCGGATGTCCTCTTTGGGGCCAAGCTGTACTCCACGTCCATCGACATGTGGTCAGCCGGCTGCATCTTTGCAGGTGACGTGCTGGGGCGCTGCAGAGGCACCTTCTTTCCCATTTGGGTTGACAAATAGGGTCTGGAGGGTTCCCTCTAGGGGAAGGGAGGGAGGCTCTGGGACTGGGGCTGGAAGGTCAGGGGGCACCTCAGAGTGAGGGGTCCTTCACATGTCACGTCTTAGCCCCCTGTCTGCCCCCCAGAGCTGGCCAATGCTGGGCGGCCTCTTTTTCCCGGCAATGATGTTGATGACCAGTTGAAGAGGATCTTCCGATATCCTTGTTTTCCTCTGCCTTGAGCCCTCTGGGAGGGGACAGCCCATGGAGTTTTGAGTGCAGTGGGTGAGGGAAGTGATGGTGTGGGGTGGGGTGATGGGGTCTGTAGGGCTTCTCTTGAGGGCAAGGGGAGACAGCAGAGGTGCTGGACACCCTGACTGTCACAGTGCAGATACACACTGGAGAAGGTATGGCTTGGAGACAGGCAGTGTGCCCTGGGGGGCAAAGCCAAGAGGGTGTCCCTCCAGGTGAGAGATGGATGCCAGGATGAAGGAGCCAAAGACAGCAGGACACATTTTGTGGGAGCGGGGCAAGGACCAGTTCATTAGGACTAGGACAGCAGCATGTGGGTTAGACTAGTTAGTGATTGTCATGGGAAACGTGGTTGGATGTACGAGTGACGTGCCCGGGGTTGCTTCTGACAAGCTCAAACCAGAGGGTAAAGGGAGGGTGAGAGAAGTAGGTGATGGGTATGAGGAATCCTCCCCGGGAGGGGAAGAGGCCCTCACCCTGCCCCTGAAGATGCAGCTGTGGCCCTTTCCCAAGTGATCCTTGACTCCGTGGACACGCTGCTGGGGACGCCCACCGAGGAGCAGTGGCCCTCTATGACCAAGCTGCCAGACTATAAGGTGTGATGGGGAATTGGGGGGTCATGGTTCATCAGGGTCACTCTTGTTTCACATTCCTAGCAGCCTCCAGCCCCTCCCCCTACCTCTAGTCTGACCCTCCCTGCCTCTCCACAGCCCTACCCGATGTACCCGGCCACAACATCCCTGGTGAACGTCGTGCCCAAACTCAATGCCACGGGGAGGGACCTGCTGCAGGTAGGTGACTTGGGGTAGAGGGTGGGTCAGGACACTTGCCCAGAGCGGACTACAGGAAGGCAGGGCTCTGGGCAGTGACCTGTCCTGAACCTGCCGCCTCCTTTCCCCCATCTCCAGAACCTTCTGAAGTGTAACCCTGTCCAGCGTATCTCAGCAGAAGAGGCCCTGCAGCACCCCTACTTCTCCGACTTCTGCCCGCCCTAGGCCCCAGGATCCCCGGCCTCCAGGCTGGGGCCTGGCCTATTTAAGCCCCCTCTTGGGAGGGGCAAGATGGTGGGGGTGCCCCGTGCACTGTGCTCCAGCTGTGCTGGGCCCAGCTGGGGTGGGGTGCCTGAGCCTAAGTTTCTCACTCCCTTTGTGGACTTTATTTAATTTCATAAATTGGCTCCTTTCCCACAGTCTGGCTGATGTGGTGGTCAAGTGGCTCTACAGGGGCCATGAGCTGGAGGGGTCTCTGCTCTGTTACTGCTGGCCGCAACCCTGCTTCTGGCTCAAAGACAGCACCTTGCTCTTCTACTTTAAGAGGCCATGACCCTCACCCCTCACCCCTGGGACAGGGCAGCACTGTCACTGCACACCCCTCCCTCCCACCTTCCCTCCCTCTGCCCAGGAGGGCCTGACATGGTCCCTTGGAGTGAGGGGGCCAGTATCTAAGAGCAAGAATGGGCTCCCTGCCAGGGTGGGGAGGAAAAGGCTGGGCCTGTCCTTGTGGTTCTCCATATCTCAGGTGGATCCTCTTGTCCCTTCCCTCATCATCCCCTCATACCCAGGCCTGCAGGCTGACACAGGAGAGCCCGAAAGATATGGTTCCATCAGGAACACCCCTTCCCACTCCCTATTTGTCAGTTTCCCAATGTTTGGAGTACAGTGAAAGAGAGGGAAGTTGGGCCTATGGCTGGGGCCTAGTGTGTCCTTATTGGCAGGAAGGGGAAGGGAGAGCTCCCCCAACCCTCACCCCCACCCCCACCCCCACCGTCTCAAGCCTTAGGCCTTTAGCTCTTGTGGGGAGGCTGGGGAGACAGAACTTGTTGGTATGGAGACAGGCTGTGTGCCACACTTGGTCCCAAATGTGGGAAAGGAGTCAGGATATAAGGCAGGACACAGGTGTTCTTGAAAGTAGAGTCACTCCCTGTCTTCTCGCTGCCTCTTCTTGCTGGGCTCTGGGCAGAGCTCTCTTTCAGTTATACCTTTATTGCTGACTGTGATTCTGTGCTCACACCTAAGCCTGGGCTTGGAAGATACCTGTCCTCCCTTCTCTCTAAGATGTCAGTCGGCTAAACTCACTCACACTGAGCTGCAAAGGACTGATAACCTCTTGCTACCATTCTTCCCTAGAGATTCATGGGGGTTCATGGGCCCAGCTCCACATTTCAGAAGCCACCTCCAGCTGGATGATGGCTGGCAGAGGACTTCCGATGCCTGAGTTGGGCTGACCTTGGCTTGGCTAGTCTGTGCCCTGTAAGAGAAACACCTGAGGCTGATGCATTAGGACTTTATTTGGGGTGAAGATGGAAAAGCTACGTGCAGGCTAGGCATGTCCAGGATGTCAGGGTGGGGCTCCGAGGACACAGACAGCAGGCCTAGAGCCGTGTGACAAGGTAGCAGGTGCGGTGGGAGGCGGAGAGAGTCTTGGTGACAGCACAAGGAGGGGTGGGAGGTCTTCGGAACAGAGCAGAGGGCTGGGTGGGAACCAGCACACCCACTGTCCTGCGCCTGTCCCTGCCCTCCCTTGATTTTAGGGGGCCACTATGTGTTACCTGGGGCCCAGGCTGAGGTGGGGAACTTGGGTTCGATGGCTGCCCAGCCCTTCCTGAAGCTGTGGGAGGAGGAGAGGGTCAGAGGTGGGGAGTGGTCCTCCTCCCAGGGACCAGTCAAGGTCACTGCACACCCTCCTGCCTGTTTCTCCTCAGCTGGGGTGGGATGGTGTTCTAGGCTTCAGGGGTGGGGCCTAGAACCTTTGGAGCTGGCAGGGGCTCCAGAAGAGGGGCTGTTACCAGATTGGTGCTGGAATGCCTTTGGGAGTGCCTTCGGTTCCAGAAATATCCCAGGACCTTGTCTCGGAACACCTGGAGGCAAGCAGGATGGGAGGTGGCAGTGTACGCCTTCCCCCTCATCCTAGGGGCCCTGATTCCCACCTCCCACCCCCTGCAGTGGGGGCCCTGGCCCACCTCACAGAGGTAGTCTAGGATCTCGAGGATGGTGAGCAGGCTGGCCCCGATGAACAGCCCCATCTGGCCCCCAATGTCGCCTGTGGAGACAGGGTCACCCTTCAACTCACAGCCACCTGCCTGCCCACACCTCCCCAGCTCTGGGGGCCCTGCACACACACCAAGCAGCTCCGACATCTCATAGGCCTTCTTCTGTTCCACAGTCTCATAGTTGAGGGCCTCGAAGAAGATGTCCAGGGCCAGCACGTTCTCCCTGAGGACAAGAAAGGCCTCAAATGTGTATTGGCCACCGCCTGGTGCCCACTGCTGGCAAGAAGCAGCTGTGGGTTCTCCCACTCCTTTCAAGAATCCTGGGAGGGGCCAGGCACGGTGGCTTACACCTGTACTCCCAGCACTTTGGGAAGATGAGGAGGGAGGATCTTGAGGCCAGGAGTTTGAGACCAGCCTGGGCAATATAGCGAGACCCCCTCCCCCCAATCCCCCGCCGTCTCCATTTTTTAAAAGTAAAGATTAAAAAAGGAAAGGAAAAAAAGGTCCCTGGGAGGGGGCGTCAGCATCCCCCGGGGGGCAGAAAGGTTAAGCAACCAGCACGGAGCCCCAGAGCCAGTGAGGCTGCGGAGGCTGCCTCCGCCCGGGCTGTGCGCACGAGAGCTCCGGCTTGCCCCGCTCCGCCCCGTCGGGAGCCCCCGGCTCGGAGGAGCCCGCCCGCCCCGCACAGCTCACGCGATGTAGGCCTCGCTGCGGTTGAGCTTCCGGGCCAGGAAGCGCGCGGCGGCGCGGCTCGGGATCCGCACCATGGAGAGCTCCTTGGCGTAGCGCGTGCTGGCGCACGGGTTGGGGCAGGCGCATGAGTCCTTGCGAAGCATGGCATCTGCGGGCCACCGGGCCGCGTCAGCCGCCAGCTGGGCGGAGCGGGGCGGACGGGAGGTGGGGGGGACCTTGCCCTTACCTATGGCCGGGTGGGCACAGTTCTTGTACTGCTGGGGGCTGCACACTGGCGCGTCGCCTGCGGGTGCGGGGGAGATGGCTTCAGGAGCAGCCCCAGCTCTCTGGGCCCTGCCCACCATGGGACGAAGACCCCAGCCCCTCACCTGGCATGTACATCATTCGGCAGCCGCACTTCCGAGCCACGTAGCGGGTTTCGCAGGCCAGGCGACACCCCATTAGGGTATAGGGAAGGCTGGGGCTGGGGGAGCTCAGGGGATCAGAGGGCTCTGGCTCATAGTTGGGGTTCAGAGATGCTGAACTGCAGTCGCCCCAAGGCGGTGGCAGGAAGCTCAGCTGTGGGGGGACAGGGTTAAGGAGACTTCCCAGAGAGCGTGAGAGGTCAGCTGGGGAGAGGCCCCTGGACAGGTCTGAGGAGCTGAGGGTTTAGGGCCCGTGGTGGTGTGGGCTTGAATAATGGGTGTAGAGGCACATGGGAGGGTACCTGCTGCTGCTGGCAAGAAACAAAGGTCTGGTAGCCCGGGGACACCCCCAAGCCCAGCTGGTCGATGATGGGCGGCTCCTCCTGGCTGTGGATCTGCACTCGGATCCCCACCTCAAAGGGGGTCTCCTCTGTCGGAGACGGACCTATGAGGCCTGAGACCCTGTGGTCAGGTCTCCTGCCCAACCAGACAAGACCTCTCACTGCAGCCCCCTCTCCCCAGGACAGGGATGAACCAGCCCAGCCCCTTTCGCAGGTTCTGGGGGAACACCCTGACGCCTCCTCTCCTCCTCTCCTCCTCTCCTTCCCCTAGCCTTTTGCACCCCATCCATGCCCTCCCCCAGCCTCATTCATGCGCTCCCTACCGTTGTCCCTCCACACAGGTAGATATTCCTCCTGCTGCACGTCCAGCATGATGTCCAGCCCATTGCCCATGCCACCCCTAGTAGTGGTGAGCAGCTCTGCCCCATCGGCACCAGAGTTAAATGTGTAGCACTTTCCCATCCGTGTGAAGATCTGGGGCGGGCAGACAGGGTGATGGCCATCTCCCCCAGGCAAGCACGTGGTCATGGGACCTCTCCCCACCTCATGGTATGTTTGCGTCTCTTCTTTGAACACTGAAGCCCACATCTCAACGCCCCCAGCCCCACGCTCCACGTGGGCACATGTTGCAGGACGCTCTTGGGAGCCCATCGACCCAACTCCTCCTCCCCGCCAGTCCCCACCAAAGCCCAGGGCACAGCCTCTAGGTTTTCCGTGTTTCTCTGGAGACTGGGGGAAAGGAAACGGGCCCCTGTGGCTGTCCTCCAGGGCTGGCAGTATGTTGAAAAGGTAGAGGGAAAGCGAGACCCCCTCCTGGCAGAGACAGGGGGTCTTCTGCCCCAGAATGGTCCCACCAGGGAGGACCTCCAGCCCCAGTAGCAGGGCCACCATGGGCCAGACCTCAGGCCTAGGGCCAGCCAGGGTCAGTGTGGCCTCATATGCTCCCCCCGGGCTGGGAAACAGAGACAGCCCCAAGGAGGACAGCTTCCTGGGCTGCACAGAGTGGCATTGGGGGGTGGGGAGTCCGTGGCTGGTAGGAAGGAAGAAGTCCCCTGGCTTTGGGGGAGTCTATGCTGGCAAGGGGATTGTGGGTGCTGGGCAGGGACGGCTCGGCTCTCTGGGTCCCTGGCAGGACAGGTAGGGAGGTCAGCTCACCGTGGTGAAGTTCTCAGGCCCACAAGGTTCGCCACGGAAGCGACAGTCCAGCAGCATGTCGTCCAGGGAGTGCCCAGCACGGGCATAGAGTTGCGCCATGTCAAAGGTGGGACTGGGCATGAAGCCGGGCGGTGCGGGGGGCCGGCCCAGGGCGCGCAGGAAGGCGGGGTGCTCTGCGGGATCCAGGCCCAGCAGCGCAGACCCAGCCCAGTGCAGGTCGTTGGGCGTTAAGCGCGAGCGGCGCAGCGGGTTGATGTTGCACAGGGTAACGGCCGGGAAGACGAGCCGGTGGCTTTCTCGCTCATCCAGGGCAGTCTGGTGGTGGAATTCCCTGTAGTAGCGCACTCTCTCAGCCACCTGGTAGAGGAAGGTGGCCACTGACAGGACCACAGCTGCTGCCCACATCCCTCGGCGCAGGCTCAGGCTGCCTGGCCCGAAGACGTGGCCCAGCCCATGCATTGAGCAGTTGCTGGCAAACACGCGGATGTCGGAGGCCGGCCGCCGGGCCTCCTCTGGGCCTGAGGTGGGCTTCATGGCCAGAACCCAGGAGGGGGGCCAGCTACAGAGGCTTGGAAGGAGCGAGAGAGGGTCAGTCAGGGGGCTGAGGGGGCTAAGATAGGATTCAGGGGGCCAGGCAAGGAGAAGAAAGGAGAGGGTGGGAGAGAGCCAAGGTTGGGAGGCAGGGAGGCACTAGCCTGACAGGATTGGAGGAGGTAACCTGGCCGGTCAGGTCCCACTCAACCTTCCCGAGGAACAGGCGGTGACTCCACTGGGCTAGACACTGGGCTGGGCACTCCGCAGCAGACCAGGTGGGGCACAGCTGACTGTGGCAGGCAGGGGCTGTGGAGCGGTGCTGAGGTGGTGCTGAGCCGGCGCTGCTGCAGAGGATTGGGTTTCAGCAGTGAGGGAGGAAAGGGGGCCGGCAGAGCAGTCTGGGGGGGTAGGGGAGGTCCCTGGGGCCCCAGGCTGAGCCATTAGTGCAGCATGGAGGGGGGCATGGCTGTCCAAGACGAGAGCTGCCAGGAGGAAATCACAGTGATCCCAGGGAAAGCTCAAGGGAAGTCCAGGGGTAAATTGAGCCTAGAGGTGCCTTGGAGGCCCCCTAGGCTCCGAGTTGCAGCCCCTGTACACCGGCCCCGAGGGTCGGTCGCTGACCCCTGGCCTAGCTCCTCCCTCCTTTTGCCTCTCCGGCCTTCCCTCTAGTTTCACCCAGGATCATCTGTTCCTTCCCAAAGACCAGAGCTGGCTCTTGGCCAAACTTGGAAGTGGTTGGAAGGTTGGCATCGGCGAATCTCTTCTTTCTGTGCCCCTACCATCTCAGCCTACACTGGATGGCCAGGGCACTCTTCACGTCCCACTTCCAGGGCCCGTCTGTTTCCTAAGTGTCCCTCTCTCCCTAGGGAGTCAGAGCCTACCTCCCCACACTTAGGCCCTCCTGTTGAGGATGTTGGCCTCTACAATGGTTATGGGCTCACCTGCCACCCCACGTAGAACATGGGTGCCCCACCTGCCACCGTCCTGGGTACCACAGATGCCCACCTGCCACCCTCCTGGGTACAACATGGGTATTCTGTGATTTCTCATTTTACACTGCTATATCCAGGACCTGGAAAACCTTCATTTTTCCAAAGGGCTGCATACCACCCAGTATGTGCACACACCAGTTTATTGAATGACTGCCCCACTGATGCACTGGGGGTCTCCAGTCTTTCCATTACAAACAATGTTGCCGTATCATCACACAGATGTGAACTCCCAGGATGACTGCTGGGCCAAGAGACCGCTGGGTTGGTAATCTGATAGATGACACTGAATTTCCCCCACAGGAGACATGCCATTGTGCACTTCCACCAGTAATGTGGCAGCAGGCCTGCTTTGCATGGGGCTTTTCTAGAGTCACTGTGTCCACGGTGTGAGACAGCGAGCCTGCAGAGGGCAAAGCCAGCATATTATCTGACCTAAGATGCTTCCAATGATCCAGGGGAGAAGGTAATGGGTTGGGGGTGGGGGCAGGCTCCCAGAGGGTGGGCAGAGACCTCCAGGAGGCTGTGTTATGTAGTGCAAGCTAGTGCCAGCTGACCTGAAGTGGGATGAGGACACCGTGCTGATCCATGGTCCTGGAGATGAGGTGCTGCCCAGCTCAGGGCCACAGGGGCCAGCCCAGGAACACCTGAGGTTCCAGGAGGAAGCCCTGGACCTGGGGAGGAGAGCCAGGCAGTCCTCATCAGTGTCACACTCTGCATTTGGCTAAATGGTCATCTGCCCCCATGTATCTGGGAGTGAGGTGACATTCCTTGTAGACCTGTGGGAAAGCCGGCTCATCTCCATTAGTTTACTAAAATTTATTTCTGTTCTATCTATCTTTGCCCAAAAAAGCACCTGAGGTCGCCAGGCTGACTTTGGTGGGCTTTTTTTGACCATGAGTGGTAGAAACATGGTTCCACCAACCAAATGTGTGCACACACCATGCTGCAACTCCTGGGCCACCTGTCTGTCCTCCCAACAGGACACAAGCTTCATGGGGGAAGGGACGGTCCTCATTCCCCATCGTGGGCTCAATGGCACATGACAGGTGCTTGATTAATAAACACTTTGGAAGGACTGAGTACCATGATTACAGCACAGGCGTACCAGTTCCCCAGAGCCACAGTGCTGTGCTTTGCAAGTATTGTACTGTAGATGATCCCACTCACACTCTCAAAACAGGCATTCACCATCAAGCACAGCTAGGCTCCTGCTCTCCACTGTGGAGCTAAGGCTGAGGCGACGTTAGGAAGACGGCACGGCTCTTGCAATCTAGCTCTTCCAGCTGGACTAGCTGTGAGGTTTCGCTGCTTCTCTAGGGGGCAGGTAAAGGGCTGCATTTGGAGAAGCCATCCAGAAGATACAAATCTGGTGTCAGAGGCATCTCGGGCAGCCTGAGGCTGGTGACTGAGCGGGTGAAGCAGAAATCGCCTTGGCTGGTTGCCTGGTGAGGGAGGGGTCAGGCCAACAAGCAGGGCCCCGGCAGGGCTTGTGGACTCGCCGGAAGCTAGGGCCCTACTCTGGGCTGCCCTAAGGAGAGGTTTAGCTGTGAACCAGCCCCAGGCTCTGCTCCTGAGCCTCCACTGCCTAGAAACATAGCCTCTGATCTGTCAGGAAGTGGGATATCAAATCAGGGTGGATGTGGGCCTGGGGTTTTTGGATGGCTTGTCCCCAAAGCACCATCTAGTTCTAAACCATACCCACAAGAGCCTGTGGGTCCCACTCTGGCTCCTGCACACAAACTTGAGCCACTGCTGCCTCTTCCAGGATGGCCTCCCAGCAGCACCAGCTGCTCCATCAGCGCACTGCACCACACCCCTGAAAGAGGGTACCATCCTTCTTTACACAGGATATATCTCGTACACTTGGCTGGCTGTGAAGGTGCACCGCAGGCACCACCTCTTCTCCTCCCCAGGGGAGCAGGGCCCCATGTAGTCCCACAGCCTGGGTGTCACTGGATGGGGGGAAGGATCCCAGTAGGAAGTGACAGTGGCACCAAGGTGGGGAGGGCTGGTGCATCTGCAGCAGTGCAGGGACACAAGGTCCTGCTGGGTGCCAGTTCAGCCAAGGCCCTACTTCTGTGCCTTTCCAGGCCCCTCAGAAGCCAGCTGAAGCGTAGCCCCCCATCCATAGCCTCGGGGCCACAGGCGCCCGTCACTCGGGATGTCTGCCTTCCCCTTTCAAGATGCGCCTCCCAGAACTTGCAGGGGGCGCTGGCCTGTCCACAGCCGCGCCCTCCTGGACCAATTCTGTACTGGATTCTGCAGTAGTTGCTCCATTTAGTTCTGTACTTGTCAGCATTGTGGGCAGGAAGCTGAGAGCTTCAGGTGGGCATCGACCCCTCCCATCTCCTTCAGAGCTGGGTGTTCTTGGTGTAGATGGAGGCTGGTCCACGATCTCAGTGGGTGAAAGACTCCAGGCACACAGGGCAGGGTCAGTGGAAGACAGCCAGGCAGGCTGGCGCCTCTCGTGGGAACTGGCCACTGTGGCCCCGTCCCTCCTACCCTGACCCAAGTGTTGGGCCCTGTGAGGCCTGTGTCCCTTGGGGTGGGGGTGAATCTAGAAATCGGGACTGTGTTCACTGTGCAGGGAGAAGGGAGGGAGGCTGTTTGGAAGACAGGGACTGTGGGTTCCGGGGTGAGCCAGCTGATAGGCTCCTTCTCCCATGGTCCAGTGAGGCAGTGGGGACACAGGAGAGGGAGTCAGTCCCCAGTCTAGAGAAGTGAAGTCCTAGCAAGGGTGTGGGAAGAGCCTTAGGTTTGAGTTCCCAGGCCCACTTCCAGACCCTGATTTTTAAAAACTCCCTGGGCCTGGCCAACTTGAGGCTGCTGGGTGGGGCAGGGACACTGGCCAGAATGTCTCTGAGATCTGGAGGGGTCTGGGCAAAGGGAGAACAGAGTGGGGAACTCTGCCTCTGCCCACTGCAGCCCAATGACTCTGGCAGACTCTGGTGGGAGGGAGGCAGCCGGCAGGACTAGGGAGGGGAGGGAGGGACTGGCCTCCCCTGCCAGCCGCTCGGCCCCGGCTTTATTGTGAGCAGGAGCAGCCGCAGCGACTCTCCACATGCTGGCCCTCCCGGGGGCTCAGTCTCCAGTAAGCTCCCGGCAGGCTGAGCCCCAGCCCTAGCACTGATGCTTGGCAGTGACCACACCTCGGGGGCCCTTCTCAGGACTTGTGCTGCTGGCTCCTGGGGCCTTCCGGCTTTTTGGGCGGTGGGGCCACCGTCCTCGGGGCATCCAGGGCCTGCCTCCGGATAAGCTCGGCGTACAGCCCGCCTTTCTTCAGGAGCTCTTCATGGGTGCCAGCCTGGAAGATGGGAGGGAGGGGCGAATGGTTGCTCCAAGGCGTGCAGGCTTCAGAATGTTCCGAGGGCTAAGCCTCTCTATCAGCCATTGGGCCCACGGTCACTTAGGCCACTCTGAAACCAATGCTCAATCTGAAAGGAACCGCCACTGGCATGCTGCATCAGTTACTGCCACTTCCCTACTTAGCTGAATTTTGGAAGAACATGATTCCCTGTCCCGCTTACAGAGCCCAAGGCTCCAATTCAGGATCCATCTCCCTGCACAAGCCCCTCAGCCTTGGCTTGAATGAGCGGCTGTGAATCAATGCCACACAGCCTCTGGGGTCCTACTTCTGACTCCCTGCACAGGTTCCTTGGCGCTGCTTCTTCTGCAACTGATACCCTGGGCAGCCAGCCCTGTTCCTCACTCACAGCACCATACTCTTTCTGAGTATGTTTCTTTTTTGTTTTTTTAAGACAGGGTCTCATTCTGATGCCAGGCTGGAGTGCAATTGCACAATCATTGTTCACTGCAGCCTCAACCTCTGGGGTCAAGTAATCCTCCCGCCTTAGCCTCCAGAGTAGCTGGGAGTACAGGCGCATGCCATCACATCCAGCTAATTTTTTATTGGGTATTCTGTAGAGACAGGGTCTCACTGTGTTGCCCAGGATGGCCTCAAGAGATCCTTCTGCTTTGGCCTCCCAAAATGCTGGGATTACAGGCACCCAGCTAGTACTTTTCCTTTTGATCCTGGGAGCTGATGGTGAAACTATACTATCCCAGGGGACAGAGGAAGAAACTGAGGGCCTGAGAGGCCAGGGCTTGGCTGAATGCAGGAACTCCTGACTCTACATGGGATGCTGCTTCCAGAATACAGCCCCGAAGGCCCTGGGGCCAGGCCACACCTTCCTGTAACTCATTGCAGCATTGTGCCACTGTTCGTGATGAAGCCATCCTCAACCCACTGATCCACGCCCCCAGGACGACTAACCTCCCAGACACGGCCATCAGCCATGACGATGATGCGGTGGGCCCCACGGACGGTGCTGAGCCGGTGGGCAATTACCAGCACCGTGCGGCCTGCACTGGCCCGGTCCAGGGCCTCCTGCACAACCCGCTCAGACTCTGCGTCCAGCGCGCTGGTGGCTTCATCCAGTATCAGCACTGTGGGCTGCTTGATAAGGGCTCGGGCAATGGCCAGGCGCTGCTTCTGGCCTCCAGAGAGGGTAGTGCCCCGTTCACCTGGGAAGGGAGGGACAGAGCAGGAGCCTGAAGCTGTGCACTTGAGGGTGGCCCACAAAGGGGCACAGGGTCCTTCCT